TGGAGGAATGGTTGGTGAAGATGATGGAACTTGCTGAGATGGCTAAATTGACTTCTTTGATGAGAGAAAATGTTTGCATGAAACAGAAAAAAATGACCTTATGATTCATGGTTTTGATGATTAGATTATAAAAGAAGAGAGTTAGATTGTAACCACAGAGTAAGAGATAAATTTACAATTGTACTTACAACTGTTATAAAGAAGATCAGAAGCTACTTTTTTGTATCTTTTTTGTATCTTTTTTCTTTCTCTTTTACTTTTTTTCCTTTCTTGCACTTTTAGCTTTCTCTTTGATTTCTTTCTTTCTTTTTCTTTTCTTTTCTTTTTCTTATTTTATATTAGTTTGTATGAGTTTTTATCTTCCCTTTTAAAAAAATCTTTAACAAAAATTATATTTTAAAAAAATGTGAAGGAACAAGCTCACACAGACATATTTCCTTGCTTTACTCCTCCAGTTTTAACATGTGCAACCAATTTGGTTTTTCCCTTCTTTCAAGACTTCTATACTCCCCTCTCTCACAGTCACAGAAATTTTAGACAAATTTTAGACTCTAAGCCTATTGAGTCAGGAGACTGATTTCTTTTTTCTTTTTGGTCATATTTCACACATATTAGAAGTGATATTGATATAGGGTACTTACAAGTCCCTCTACTTTTTTCACAACTAAAAATTGTTTTACAATATTCTGTATCCACAAAAGTGATAAACAAAAGCATATGTTTTATAGTAATCCACCATATAAACCTCTCACCAGACCTCCTTCTCACTGATCTAGGTCTGAAATTAAATTAAATGAAATTATTTGTATTTAAAATTAATTTGTTCCTAATAATTTACTGTATTCTTGCAACAGAATCCTTGGCCATGTTCTGTGCCTCCATATAGCCACCTATTCATGACAACTAATTATTTCTCCATCACCTTCTATTTTCATATCTGAATTTCATTAGTTCTCTTTTATTATGCTAAATGAAATCTACGTCTCCACTGAACTTATTAGACACCTTCCCAATTAACCATATTTCTATTTATAATTGGGCTTTGTCTATAGTATTTTAGTCATATTTAATGCAGGTAAAATCATTACTTCTTAACACTGACAGCTAGCATTTTTTAAAATTAAGAACTTGGAAGAGAGTGGATTTTTCTTAGACTCTGCATATGTTGGTAACCTATCAGCATAAAAAGAATCTCAATTCTCATTTGAATAATTTCTGGCTTTTGCAATGATTATAAAAACATGGCTGCGTAACTCCAAAACAATGAAAACAACATGAATCAACATCAAACATAATTTGAATATATTTAAATTACATGTCTTCTCATCTCATCTCATGCTTTGAAAGACAGTTAGGTCATATTCTGATCAGCTGAATTTCATCACAGCCTAATCTTTTTGGACATCAAAACAAGAATTCAAATGCCAACTTAAACCCTGCCTTAGGAAGTCTCACCCAAGTACTTTTATGAACACTGTATCATATTGCTTATTACACTTAGGAAGAATATTTTCAAAATGGAAAAGCATGCTTCATTTGTTCTTTATTAACGCTCCAGGCTGCTTCTTGCCGACAGTTCCACAATGCTCTAATAAGCTCATTCTGTGGAGGAGACTATATACTAGTTTTGGCTGAAAGCTGAAGCATATACTTAGGACTCTATACTGCAGTTAATTCTCAACAGGCCTGACAATGAAAAGAAATCTACACAATTATCAAGAGGCAAATTTGGCTTTTACGTAGTAACTAAACTGATTTATTATAAAATTCAGATACTTACTGCAGCAGTCAATGTGACTCATGAAAGAATGCTCATTTTCAGCACCAATGCTCATTTCCCAATCCTGTTTTATTCATCAGGCTTTGAATTTTCAACAAGCAATAATATTGGGAAAGGAGGTTATCAATGAGCGTCACATATTTTCCTGTCTGTAACTAGGGGCAAATGATTTCATATGGCTACTTCAATACAGAACAAATAAGCACCAGAATAATATTTCAGACTTTAAAAATGTATTAATTCTTTTATCTTCAGTCATTAATTTATTTTGCTTACTACTTCTTATTCTTTTTCTGCACTTTGTACAAAGTTGCTTATCTCACAAGGAACAGCATGCTGGGTATGTATGTACAGGCAGTCCCTGGATTAAGAACAAGTTCTGTTCCTAAGCCTGTCTTTAACTCGAATGTTTATGTATGTTGGAACTCGTATTTACAAATGGGCCGCCTATTACTAAAAATGGCCGATGGCGTTCTCCTTCCTGGAGCCAATGAACCTCTGAAGCCGTGAGAAGTTTTCATGAATCGCTGAAAACCACTGAAAACAGGCTGTATATTAAAAACATGAAGCTTCAGCAGTTCATGAAAACATCACACGGCTTCAGCAGTGTTAGCTCCAGGAAGGAGAATGCTATCCGCCATTTTTAGTAATAGGCAGCCCGTTTTTAAGTATGAGTTGTCCATAACTCAAATATTCTTAACCCGGAAACTGCCAGTATGTAGGCATTAATTCCTTCAGTATTAATTCCTTAGTTTATTTAATCTACTATCATAATATTGCAAGGAAAAATAAATTGCCCAATTTTCTATAATTCATTTGATTCCGGTTTAAGAGATTTCTCACATATCATTATGAGAAAATGTTGAACATCTGTTCTAAAGATTGTTACACATTTCAACTATGAGACTGTTGACTTTACCCCAACTGAAAAGCAGTGTAGGGCAATAGCTAAGTGTGTGAATCTGGAAATTTCCAATTCAAATCTCATTTTGGCAAGAAACCCACTCAATGTTAATTACACAAGCCATTATCTTCTAAATGTCATTTCCTTTGCCTTCTAATTTGCAACAGAACAATAGTGATCAACCTTGTTGTAGGGTATACTGAGTTTATTCCTGGAAAGAAGTCTGGACACTCTTATTATTCAATATAAATACAACCATTTAAGCTAGTTGTTCCATATTTTCATGAGCCCTTATTTCATTTTGATTAAAAACATTTCATTATAGAGACTGAAATAACCTGTTGAATGGTTATCCCAACTTCGTTGTACCCTTGCAACATCATATACAGATGTGCAGCAGGTCAGTATGTCATACAGAAAGGATACCCCTGCCAATGCTAGCAAAGGAAGTGACAGTTAGAAGGCAGTTATGTAAGAAAGCTAGCAATCAAGAGAAGAGTTTCAGAAGGACAACTGAATGAAGCACATAATGTATGTTCACTGACATGATCCCAAGATTGTTTAGAAGAAAGAAAAGCTCAGAACTGCTGATCAGTGACACAGAGATGCACAATTTATTGCATTTTTCTAGGCATCAATGTTTACCTTTTGTTAAATCAGGCCTTGAAGAAGGCTGGTCTGCGGTTTCTTCAGGCTCTTCATTACTACTTTCTGATGCATCACTGCCAGTTTCATCCCCATCATCTTCATCACTCTCTGTATTATCACTGACATCATTATCACTCTCCACTCTCTCATAATCACTGTCATCTGACTCCTCTTCAGATTCTTGGCTAGGTGAACTCACTTCGGGCAAGAGCTTAGGTCTTTTGGCATCATCACTTCCTGCAGCACCACCTCCCATGCTGCTCAAACCTTGCAGAGGTCGTTTTTGGGCCAAGAGTTTTGGGTTTAGGATATCAATCTGCCCACTGTCATCTGGAAACTGTACTGGAGTCCTACTGTCCTTACCAGAGGGGGAATTCTTCTTTTGGGGATGGCCCCCAGCTTTATTTTCACGCAGCTGCTTCATAAGGCTTGTGGTATTTTGGATGCTTCAGTGCACTAGTTTAAGTAAAAAAGAAACTACTATTAGCCTCCATCTCATTATAATTCAATTATCGAAAATGGGACTGGCTGTCTAATTATATTTCTCAATTTGCAAATCATCTTATGCACATTCCAGGGCCAAAAACAGCTGCACTAAAACAGTTAATAAACTGGGAGCTTATCTTACTTCTACGAGAAAGAATTATGGCACTGTAACTCATTTGACAACATGCTTTGCTTGTGAAGTACCGTTGCCACTGTAGCTGTTCAAAGCATCACTGCAATTACTTAAGAAGCCCTTCCAAGGTCTTCTGGGTTATTCATGTGCATGCCCAGAAGACATTTCCAGCAGAATAGCTAATGAAGTGGCTGTTTTGAGGAGCAGATATAGGAGTTGCTTCACTTGTGGGAAAAATACCTTGTTGAATTATTTGCCCAGCCTAGCATGTATCATTTTCCACTATCTAAAGCAAGAATTGTGGCACTAAGATTTTCATTTCATTGCAGCAAGCAGATATCAATTTTTCTCTTTTATGCTATTATATATCATCAGAGAGACATCTAGCTGTACCTCAGATTCCTACAGATTATATTTCAAGTATGGATGCCATCTTCTATTTGGAACATTACAAAGTTGGAGAGAAGAGTAATGCTTCCATTGTGTTCTAAACTGAAAAGTTACATGCAGTTACCTTTTGAACAAAATAACCAGTGTGGGCTTCAAGGAAGCTGCTTGTTCAGTTCTTCCAAAGTTCTGCCAACCCACTCAACCTAAGTTCAGCTCAGGGTTCACAGAGTAATCTTACTTGCTAGAATCTAACAATATCTTGGGTAGGTAAGTGTTATACGTGTATGAGACTGCCATACAATACTCACTGTTCAATCCTTAAAAAAATGGCAGGAACCCAGGAGTTCTTGCATTAAGTGATTTAATAGTTCCTTTATAGTGTTATATTCAGTTACATGTATTAAAATAGGGAAAGGGAACTATAAATAAAAAGATTCAAAAAACAAACCCAGTCCTTTCCTACCCATCTGTGAATCCTTCCTAAGCTATTACCATCTGTTTCTCTAGGCAGCCTTCAAAATCTAATTCATAACAAACACAAGGGCAATAAAGTATTTCTCCCTATTGCATTGTAGGAAGAGGAACTTGTTCCACACAAAGCTGGTGTTTAGTAAACTTAAGCAAGCACAAAACTGTGCTCTGAACAACTTTAGTTCTGGGGAAAAAAATCTAATCTGTATAGTCCAGTAGTCTATTTCCCACCATGATCCCTTTGAACTGCTACTAAAAGTATATTAATTAGGCAGTGTGAGAGTAATTCAATGTTAACAGACAAATCTATGGCTAGTCTACCGATCTATGAGGTTTTGTCAATACTCAAAAGCAGGATACTGCCAATTATCAGACACAAGAGCTAATCAATGAAGAAAAGCATTAACATGTCATTGTGTTGTATTTTAGAGACCTTAACAGAATGTCATAATTTGGTAACTATATCAAGTGGATTGGCTTTGCTGCTCATGTATTGCTTGTGGGATGGAAGCAGGTTAGAATGTTCTGCAATTCTCTGTAGGAATGATTCTGATGGAGTTAGGCTATATAAGCATGGATCTTTTTTAATTGCTCAGAGATGAAGCAAAGATAGCAGGAGCACCCAGTCTTTTACGCTAATGTCTTGTACCAAGTTCCAGGAGATATGCTTTAAGCAGGTAAAACAAGGCAAGCAGGCTTGGCATCATCCAGATATTTTGAACTACAACTTTTACAATCCTTTGCTAGCTGTAACAAAATCAGCTGAAGTCTAAAACATTTAGATAGCACAAAATTGCTTCCCCCATTATAACAGAAAGAGGTGCCCTAGAATTTCTTTTAAAATATTGTTTCTGCCAGACAGAATTAAAAGTGCATATTTCACAACAGAAATTAATTTTAAATATTACTTATGAGTCTAGCATGCAAAGACCCAGAGTTGGTGCCTATAAAAACATGGCAGTCTGTCATGGATGGAGTTTTTCTAACATGTAGGAGCTTTGATTACAAAGGCCCTCCTTTCCAGATTGTTCACATAATGTGGGAAACTGTAGAAGGAATGCTTGCTGTTGTTTTGCTCCTTGTAATTCTGTTAAATGGATGGAGCAAACAGGGAAGCAGGTCACTGTTTTACTAAAATCATGATGGAACAGGTTATAATGAACACTAGAAATGCAGACAACCCTTCATTAGTGGTTTCATGTAGAGGGTTGCTTTTTTTTTAATCAGTTAAGAACAGATAAGACACATAAAAGAAATATCTACTGGAAGTTAAGAGTCTGGTATAAGGGACAATATTTCTCGAGACACTGAAAACACACTTAAAAAATACTTTATGGCCGCCCCCATGAAATCACCAGCAATCTGTTATTTCCTTCCCTATCATCCAAAATTCAAAGCCATAGTGCCTCTGAATGTGGAAGCTTCATTGTACTGCCTTAGATCTTAACTAAACAGCAGTTGTATCAGGCCTGTGATTGGAAAAATAACAATTCCTAATTATTAGGCAGCCAGTTTTGCATGCCTCAAATTCTGTTCCTCTATCCTGTCTCACATTCTATTCCGGTAACAAAGTGATGAGCGGTATCCGTTCAAGAGGAATACAGGTCGGTCACCGGAAGAGGCAGTATCTATGAGAGGATATGCGAAAAATGGGGGGGGCTGTCAAACACGAGCTCTACCTGCCTGTGACGGGCTGCCCACGCTCATCCCCACACGACAACACTCCGTCCCTCTCCCCGGCCTGCCTCCACGATCTCCCCGGCCTACTTGTAGGTCACGCCGCCACAGCTCCTTTCTGTTTCCTGGCAACGGCACGACTGGGGCTGAGCTCCCGGAAGTCACAAAGGGCGGGGCATGTGAGTCAGTCAGTTGCGCATGCGCGTTTGGAGAGCACACCTCCGAATGGATAGGGCAGTAGGAGCTTTCCGAATGGAGCCAGCCTACCCCGGGCCCGCCCCGCCTCCCTCTCGAGTCAGCCGAGTAAACACAAAGAGCTTGGGAAGGTTTTCATGCCTTTATTTACAAGCAACCGGGTGATTTGTTTCTAATCACGCCAACTGAAATCAGTTGGACCTACGTCGTGTTGGGAGGTGCGCACGGCTGGCTCGCAATCGCTGGGACGCTGAAGGGTCAGCAAAACAGCGGGGCCTCCTCCGGTAGGACGCCTGTGGAGTGGAAGAAGGAGAGGACACGCGATAGCGCTTGCTCGGTTACGTGACACTCCCCAGGGGTTTCTTTGTGTCATGTTCCCCTTCAAGCTTGAGATTGGGGGCATGATTGGGGTGGATCCCTGATTTTGGGGTCCCTAATCTATGGGTCCCTAGATGCCTTAGGGGCACTGTTGCAGCCAAATCCTTTGTACTGAGTTCTCTTATTTCTAAAAATGAACCCTGAATGACTTGCATGACCAAAGGTGCAGTTCGCTCACAAAAAAGTCGTACAGGGCGACTATCCTGGCTGAGTTTTAACCTGTCGTAGGCTCGTATGAGTTTCGCTGCAGTTGAGTATCATGGCCGTCCTTCTGAGCAGGGGGCCACTGTGTTCTTCCGAGAATCCTCTGACAAGCCTCATCTTGGAATACACACAGCCCCAAACTAGTCAACCGCATTTTAGCCAACTTTATTATGTGAACCCAACCAATATTTATCTATTTGACAGCACCTAACTACAATGAACTTGCCTTCACCAAGAAGGGGGAGGGAGGATACCTCTTTTCCAGTGTATACACTTTATTTATTTTCACACATCATTTATACGCTACCTGATCCAAAGATTCTGGGTAGCTTACATCATAACCTTTGATAATCAGAATTCCCCGTAGAGTAATTCTATGCTATCCCTACTTTTTTTTTCTTTTTGTATCTTGTCAGATTTTCAGATTGGAACAAATGAAAGTGACAGGTTGCTGGGTGAAATAAATAATCACCCAGGACTGGCTTTATAAATATCTCTGCAGATTTATAGTGATTTGTACAAAATCAGCAGATCTAGGATTTTTGGAGGGGAAATTTTTGGGTTTTGTTTATTTATAAATTATGTTAACCCTACTTTGGGGCTTAAGCTATAGTTTTTGGTGTTTTCCAGAGTAAAATGCCAGAAATGATAGCAGTTTTTGGCACCTGTGATCATAAATTGTTCCAAGGAATTATATAGATATATAAATGTATATGTGTATCTATGTATGTATGTCGTTGGCGTGGGCTCATGGGCTGCCTGCAACCCTAGGCCTCAGGTGCCCATTTCCCGGTATAAGCCATGATTTACAGATCACAGAGACTGGGTGCACAGCATCCTGGATGTGCGTCATTTACATTGCATGTAACCCCTGCGATGCAGGCAGCAGTATGTTCGCTTGCAAGGTAGTGTCTGTAGTAAAGATCTCACTTGCTTAGAGCAATGTCACCATGTTTGTGGTAAATAGATCAAAACTGCCCAGTATGTCCTTACTATCAGCAGGGAATGTTCCAGGTGGAATGGGTATGACTAAGACTGGGAACCTAGTCTGCACTTCATTTTACTGAAAGCATTATATGAAAGACTCTGTTGACCAAAGCTATGATGGGCAATGGAGATCAATATGGGCCTATCTGGTGAAGACCATGGCATATGGAAGATTGTGACTTGGGATGTAAGAGAAATAGATTATAGAGCATTAATTAATGAAATGAAAGAAAGAAAAATAGGTATGTTGTGTTATTTGTAAAAGGAGAAAAATGTATACATCTGAACGAAGATAGTCTGAACTTGTGGAGTGGAACTGCAGGAAAGTGATGGTGTGGATTTAATTTGAGAATGAAAATGCTAGCATATATATTAGAAAGTATGAACTGATGTCATGTTGATTGTTGAGAGTGTGTAAAAAAGTAAGAAACCACTGGCTTGTAATAGTTGTAAGTTATGGTTCAGTGAATAGTGATAAGTTCTGTTCCCCATTCTTTTTCTTCTCTTATAACTTTAATTTCTTTGACTTACTATCACTTATTCCTTTTCCACATTTTGCATAACATTGCTTACCTCAAAAGAAAACAGTGTGATGGGTATGTATGTGTGTATATGTGTGTGTCTGTGGAGGGGGGGAGAGAGAGAGAGAGAATATGTGTGGGTGTGCACAGTGCACAGTGTGTTCAATCTAAAAAAAGTAAATCTGATGCTACCCCAAGTCAGACATGACAAAGTCTGGGCAGGATCATACTAAGTTTAGTGGATGTATTGCTTTCAAACGGTACTACTATGATAAAAGGGGAGCTGTACCTTGCTGATATATGTTATGAAATTTTCCATCCCACTGGGAATCAGGCAGATGGGAATCAGATGATACAGAGAAAGGCAAAGGAGTTGCTTCTGGTAGGGGAGTCTGGTACATAGAAAGCTGCAACTGGGTATTTGCTACATGAAAATGGCCTGGTGGTCTCTGTTCAAAAATGGCTTGGTTCTGGACATTATGATCTAGGAAGTTGTTTAAAATACTGGTGATGATTTCTTCATCCACTGAGATTTCTTCTGAAAAATCAATGGCTCCATTAGCCCCCAAGTCCTGTCTTGTCACTAGAGGGGCAGCCTCAGCAGGATGTCCAGGCGAGTGAAGGCCAAGAGACTCCTGAGGTCTTTGTTTTGTGTATTGAGAGAAGATTTCAGCCAGGGAGTGGATTTGATCAGCCAGCATACTGATAGCCCATCTATCTGAATCAGGGCTTGCATTCGTTGTTGGAAACAATTCTGTAGCTGGCCTTTCTTCAAATAAAGGAGAAGAGTCTACAGAAAAGCTGCTGTCAGAGGAAAATGTGTATTCTGGGGAGCAGAGACCATCAGGGCTGAAAGAGGTCAGCCTACCCTCTATTTCTGCGTAGGAGAGACTGTTGTGCCCTTCAGCGGGGAGAAAGGGAAATTGGGTTTCTTGAGACAACTGCAGACTGATGACTTCAGTCTTCGTGCTAGGGACATTCATGCTGATTGGAAATGGAGGCTGAAGAGGAACAGGAAGCATTTTTACATTAGAAGCCTCTGGAAGTTGAGAAGGATAATATTCAAGTGCCCCTTCCCTGGATGTCCCTGGCTCTTGAAGGAAAAAGTTGACTTCATTTGGCTTCAACTGCTGCAGTATTTTTCCAGAACAATGGCTTTGTTTCGAGGAAGCTGAAGAAACAACTCTGAGTGAGAGGTCTTGGTTCTGGATATAGAGAGCTTCTTTGTCCCTGTGAGAATATAAACAGTTCCATGTAGTCAGCAATCACTGGAAATTACACAGAGTCACAGGCCTTGGCAGTCAAGCTAAATGTAGCTTTTATTTATTATATATAAGAAAACTGAACTACAAGCTTCAGAGCATTTTCACAGCAGATGCCCCAAATACCATTATGAACATTATTAATGCAATTAGGAAGCAAAAGAGGCCATTTGAAAAGCCATTGTAACACTGAAGCTAATTCAGATTACAAACATAAGAAATGTGTCAGGAGAAAAATAGAGGATTAAATTCAAGTATCACTTGCAGAGAAGATTTTGATCTGATTTGATTGTTGCTTCAGCAATTATAATTGTGTAGGGATAATTAACTGGGAGTTCTAGAAATTGTAGTTCAAGCATGCCTGAAGAACATCATAGTCCTGTCTATATTAAAAAGCATTCTGATGGTTGGCCAAGCCCTACTGTAGTTTGTATGCCACCTGGCAGAATCTGACTGATCTTAGAAAACTAAAGAAGGTTGGATTTGGTTAATACTTAGATGGGAGACCACCATGAAATTGCAGGGTTGTAAGCTAGACTGGGAACTCTATGTATGTGTCCGTGAAGCCATCACAGATCAAACTGGATTCAAATGAGACTTTAAGGCTTTCATGCATAATTTAATGCATGCATTTTCCCCTAGTGTCTATCTCATTTTTTTCCGTTAGCTAATATGGGCAATGAAGCCATTGATAAAAATGGCTTTTTTGGTGCTAGGTTCAATACAGAATATGATGTGGAGAACTCTGTAGACAGAGCTACTCAATATGCTTGTCTTTGACTTAGATAGCGTTTGTCCTGCTTTCACAGAAGCTTGAGAAAATCACTTCTTCTGGTTCTTTTATCCAGCCTTTCCGTTGTAAAAATGTTTCATGCAGCTAATGGCATTTGTGGTAGCATGCACTTCTATGTTAAATCAGATGCCACTTAGCAGACATTTCTGATTGCAGACCAGAAATCATAAATGTCTTTACTTTTCTCAACAGAGCCATAGCTTATTTCACCCATTCCTTCTTACCTCCCATCCCTTTCACGCTGGCTGCCTTCTCCCAGCAGACCTGAAAATGAAAAGGATCAAGAAAGGAGCAAATGCTCTAGTGGGGAATTTAGAAGTATATCACCTTATCATCCAGTTACTGTCACCCTGTACTTTCTCTGTAGTTTGTTGAATAAGCCACAAGTGACAGGTTCAGACTTTATGCTAAACCCCAAACCATGATTTACAAATGGTGTCTAGGTCTCTACATTGCTAAGCCATAAAATAGTTTGATTATGGCTTAGTGAAGTCAGCTATTGTGTTTTGTAAATCATGGTTTAAGACTTCACAAAAATGCGTGAAACCAGTCAATTGTGGTTTATTCAACAAACCACGGGGGATACACAAGATGACAATGATTAGATGATAATATGATGCTGATGCCCCAGGAATAGGGAATGAAGTACAGCCATTTCACTCTAAACATCTAACAGTAGTCCACATGGTACATGTAACTCAGCCACAAGTAGCTAAGTTTATACAACATTCAAACCACAAATGAGACAAACCACATTATCGTTTAGCGTGACATGTGAACTCAGTCCCTCAAACATAAGCTGTCAGTGTTTTGTACCTGAGGACATGA